AGCATGAACCAATTTGCTCCTGCAGGGAAACAAAATTCCTTCCTGATCCCCCGAGAGGCAATCAGATATTCCCTGGATCAACTTTACCTATAAATGTTAGTATCCAGTTATATTCTGTGTATCTAGGAAACAATCCAGGACTTTTTTAAAGCAATCCACTGTGAAGAAACCTTTCCGTGTTTGGAAATTAAATTGCTTCCTCCAGACGTGAAGAGTGCTCCCTTGTCCTCTGTGATGACCTCAGGGTGAATAACTCTACACCGAGTTCACTATATGAACCACTGATGTACAGCACAATGGCTAAATGGTTAGCATTTCTACCTGGCAGTACTAGGGTCATTGGTTCAAATACCAACCATGGCCTGGAGTTTGCATGTTCTCCCTGTGCCTGTGTGGCTTTCCTCTGGGTACTCCGGTTTCCTCCCACACTCCAAAAGACATGCTGGTAGGTTAATTGGCTCCTGTCTAAATTGGCCCTAGCATGTGAATGTAAGTTAGGGACCTTGGATTGTACACCCTTTGAGGGTTAGGGACTGACGTGAATGTACAATATATATGTAAAGCGCTGTGTAAATTGACGGTGATATATAAGTACCTGTAATAAATAAATATTTTGTACATGTTGATCATATCTCCCCTTAATCTCCTCTTCTCAAGAGAGAATAAATTCAGTTCCTCTAATCTTTCCTCATAGCTGAGCTCCTCCATGCCTCTTATCAGTTTGGTTGCCCTTCTCTGTACTTTCTCCAGTTCCCCAATGTTCTTTTTGTGAATTGGTGCCCAAAACTGAACTGCATATCCCAGATGAGGTCTTACTAATGATTTGGGTAATATATGCTATCTCTCTCTCTCTCTGGAGTCTATACCTCTTTTAATACAAGAGAGGATTTTCCTCGCTTTAGAACCTGCAGCTTGGCATTGCATGCTATTATTAAGCTTGTGATCTACCAGAACTCCCAGATCCTTCTCCACCACTGATTCCCCCAGTTGTACCCCCCCTAGTATGTATGATGCATGCATATTCTTAGCCCCCAAGTGAAGAACCTTACATTTATCAACATTAAACCTCATTTGCCACATAGTTGCCCATTAGGCATGTTGTAGAGCATGTGTGTTGTCTTAGTGCATAGGGCTACCCTTTAAAACAAATTGCACCACAAGGCATGTAATGTGCGTTGCTGCATGCTGCAGTGCTATGTGCATTACAAACAACACATTTAGGGTTGTAAACGGGCTCTAAATGAAACCTGAACTGAGGAAACATGAAGGCTGTTGTTGCTGAACTCTTCTTTTGAAAATGCCAGTGTCCTGGATGATCCAATGAAGTTCAAGAATTAACAATCTTTGGAAACTCCACATAATGTAACTGGATGACAAGCCAATAGAAATCTCCCCAATGCTATCACATCCAAAATTGAAAAAATAAAAAACTTTTGGCTGATGTAAAAGCATTTCCATAATGACAAATAACCGGCTCACAGAACTAGAGAATAGGCCTGAAACATGAGACTTCCAGACGACACGTATACCTTTATCACTGATAGAACCAAGTACAGCACCTACCTCCCATACAACACTCTATCCCAACAGAGATTGTATACTGTTGCCTATCTAAGCAGATGCCAATTAAAAAAGACATTTGACCTAATTAAAGTCCACATCAGAACACATTAAGGCTACTTTCACACTGATCCGCCGCAAAAACAACTAAAAAACGCATAGGCGTTTTTACCGCATTTTTGCCACGTTTTTTAACCTTTTCCCACGCTGGCTGCACGCAAATGTGCAGCCTCCCGGCGTCTGGGCTCTGCGCGCTCCCAGCACACGTCTGGTACTCATGGAAAGGTCCCGATCTCCTCTTTCAATTGGGACCTTTCCCGATCATGTGACGGCGAATAACGGCGGTCCCATGACCTTAAACCCCCGCCCCGCCTCCCGGCTTCTGAAACCCTTAAAGGGCCGGGAGGTGCCGGCGCCAAGGGGTAAAGGACATGTGACTTAAAACTGCACCAAAAACGCTTCTCGGAATCGGTTTTTTTTTTTTCAATTGATTTCAATGAGAAGAGGCGTTTTTGGGGCTTTTTTTTTTTTTAACTCCCCAAACATGCCCCAAAGATGCTGCAAGCAGGAGTTTTTACACCACACACACCATAAGCGCAACACCTCAGTGTGAAAACATACATAGATATACATTCACATACATAGGGAAGCAGTTTTCTTGAGCGTTTCAGGCACTTCTTTTAATGCAAAAACACTTGAAAAACTCCTCTGTGTGAAAGTAGCCTCAATCCACTGGGCCAGCATAACAGCCAGGGAAACAGCATTTTCAGACATAGACCAACATTAGTTCCCTAAACAAACTGAATATACCACCTTGAACGAACTGGTCAATCCAGATTAACTTTGTAACTGTTTTCCTGCCAATGAGATAGCAGATTGTTTTTAAGGTCACACGTCAAGGATCCTGTACAAAAAACAATGCTAATTCAGTGCACTACTACTAAAAAGAAGAAGAAGCGACTTCATATGTAGTGCTAGGTTTGTGCACTACTTCTAAGAAGGAAGATGATACCACATATGTAATGCTTGTTCAGTGCACTACTACTGAGAAGGAAGAAGATACTGCATATATAATGCTTGTTCAGTGCACTGCTACTGGAAAGGAAGAAGATATTGCATATAAAATGCTTGTTCAGTGCACTGCTACTGGAAAGGAAGAAGATACTGCATATATAATGCTTGTTCAGTGCACTACTACCGAGAAGGAAGAAGATATTGCATATATAATGCTTGTTCAGTGCACTACTACTGAGAAAGGAAGAAGCAACTGCATATATAATGCTTGTTCAGTGCACTGCTACTACGAAGGAAGAATATACTGCATATATCATGCTTGTTCAGTGCACTGCTACTGGAAAGGAAGAATATACTGCATATATCATGCTTGTTCAGTGCACTGCTACTGGAAAGGAAGAAGATACTGCATTTATAATGCTTGTTCAGTGCACTGCTACTGGAAAGGAAGAATATACTGCATATATCATGCTTGTTCAGTGCATGCACTGCTACTGGAAAGGAAGAAGATACTGCATATATAATGCTTGTTCATTGCACAGCTACTGAGAAGGAAGAAGATACCACATATGTAATGTTTGTTCAGTGCACTACGTCTGCGAAGGAACAAGAGACTGCATATCTAATGCTAGTTCAGTGCACTACTATTAAGAAGGATGAAGCGACTGCATATCAGTGCACTACTACTACAGCAAGGAAGAAGATACTGCATATGTAATGGTTGTTTAGTGCCTTTCTACTAAGAAGGAAAAAGAGACTGCATATCTAATACTTGTTCAGTGTACTACTACTACGACTAAAAAATAAGAGACTGTGTATGTAATGCTAGTTCAGTGCACTACTACTACTATTACTTCTACTACTAAAAAGAAGAAACTGCATATGTAATGCTTGTTCAGTGCACTACTACAACAACAAGGAAGAAGATACTGCATATGTAATGCTTGTTCAGTGCACTACTACAACAACAAGGAAGAAGATACTGCATATGTAATGCTTGTTTGGTGCACTTACACTAGGAAGGAAAAAGAGACTGCATATGTAATGCTTGTTCAGTGTACTACTTTTAAGAAGGAAGAAGATACTAGTGCAATGCACTGCTACTACTAAAGGAAGAAGAAACTGCATATGCAATGCCAGTTCAGTGCATTACTACTGCTAAAAAAGAAGAGACTGTGTATGTAATGTTTGTTCAATGCACTATTGCTACTAAGAAGGAAGAAGAGACTGTGTATGTAATGTTTGTTCAGTGCACTTCTACTAAGAAGGAAGAAGAGACTGCATATGTAATTCTTGTTCAATGGACTATTGCTACTAAGAAGGAAGAAGAGACTGTGTATGCAATCAGCACATATGCTGCTCCTGTGTACTTGTGCCAATTACACAGAATCATGATTTGAATAATATAACATGAGAGTTTCTTCTGAAATAACGGGACAAGCTGGTATTCAATTCAAACACCAGAATTACAATAAAATGTAAGTGTTTGAGCCCCTGTCAAGTTTTTATTGCTGTCTGTATCCCCATCACAGAGATTCACCCATCTATTTGCATTGGTGTTCATTGTTACCAAAACAGAAATTGATGGGTAATGGAAAATGTTTAATTGTCCCAAGAAAAGAGGTAGAGGAAGTTATCTGACAGGAATGCCGGACCTGGGGTCTACTGTCTAAGTGAAGGATTCCCCTCACTTTGGGAAATATCCTCTAACTTCCCATTTCATCTCTGGAACAGGAAATGAAGAGAAATTTCACCAATACTACACAAACAGTAAAAAATAAACTGACAGTAAATCCAACCACTTGAGCTCCAGAAGATTTTACCCTCATCAAGATCAGGGCTTTTTTTTTTACTATTTAGCACTTTGCTACTTTAACTGGTAATTTCTCGGTCATGCAACTCTGTACCTAAACAAAATGTATATAATTTTTTTTACACAAATAAAGCTTTCTTTTGGTGGTATTTGACCACCCCTCGTTTTTTATTTTTTGTGATATAAACAAAAAAAGACCAAACATTTTGAAAAAAAAATATTTTTTTCTTTCTGCTACAAAACATATCCAATTAACAAAATGTTAAAAAAAAAACAAATTTTTTCATAATTTTTGTCCAAAATTTATTCTGCTACATGCCTTTGATAAAAAAAAAAACCCCAGTAAATGTATATTGATTGGTTTGAATCTGACACTAACAATGGGATGTGGGGGGAACTGACTGGGGGGAACTGAACAATGACATCACCAGTGACACTAATACAGTGGTCAGTGATAATACTATACACTGTCACTGTACTAATGACACTGGCTGGGAAGGGGTTAAAGTGATAGTAAAACCCACAACAGTAAAATCAGTCTGTATATGCAGTAAAGCATGCTTGATATACTGTTGAACCTAAGGGGTTAATCCTCTGCATTGTGTAAAAATGTTGTTTGATCCTGTCTTCTTAGATCCTCCCCTTCTTCCAGTGTCCTGCTCTATTCCCCTGATAAGACATATGGTGTGGAGACACTCTGCACATGCTCATTTTGGTGTGTATTGCTAAAGAGGTTTTTTTTTTTTCTCTTGGGACAGCGCTTGTGATCAGCACAGGGCCAATCAGCACTGTCCAGACAGAGGTCAGGGGTTCTGCATCCTCCTAGAGCAAAAACGAAAAATCCCACAAGCTTTAACCAGTGCACAGCTGGACACTGATAGAAATCACAAGACTGCTCTAACTGCTGATGAGAAAAGGTATTTAGTAGTTTATATTTAACAAAAATAATTGCATTTCCTTGTTCTGTGTACTGAGGAGACCAGATATAGTGAATGCAGGGTCTGGGGTTTAGTAACACTTGAACTACTAGAGAGATCAAGGGGTTAAATGTGTGCCTAGCTATGTGTAAAGTGTGCTGCTGTTACTAAAAGATCTCTTAGTTCTCAAGTACATTGCAGGTGGGCAGTCTGCAAGTGGTTAACCTATCCCTACTCTATCCCAAAAAAAAAAAAAAAAAAAAAAATAACTAAAACTATTACAGCTCATACATGACTGCAAGATATGAACACCAATTTCATCACAGCCTTGTGCCCTGCTGGTTACTTAATAACATCATCTGTAACACTTTAGCTACCTCTAGTGGACACATTCAGAATAGTTTTTATTCTGCCAAAATTAAAGTGTACGTCCTCATGCACACTGGACGTTTTTACAGCTGCTGTTGTTGGCTTTTGACAATTTTTTTCTACAGCCAGTAAACCCCCCAGCATGTTATCCTATGTGCCCATGCACACATAGACTGTAATCAACGTTTTTTGGCTGGAAAAAAAAAAACCCAGGACTAGTGGGTTTCTAGCGTAGTTTTTTAGCTGTAAAAAAACACTCTAACGCTGACAAATCGCACCAAAACGTGGTAAATCATCGGAAAACCAGTGTTTTTGGATGTTTTTTTTGACAAAAAAATGCTAAAAAACACAAAAAGCAAAAAAAGCGACAAAACGCCACTAAATGCAAATACAAAAACGCTAAAAAAACACAGAAAAATTCACGTTTTTAACATGACTTTACACAACTAACGTTACCAGTGTTATTAAAACGCCCGTGTGAATGGAGCTTTAGGGTTCATGTACATGAGCAGCTGCTAAACTTGAGTTTAGGAGCTTTGGCATTTTTTTTTGCCAAAGCACCGAAACTCCACTCCATAAAAGCCAATATGTCCATGTACATACATGTAGATTTTTAGCAGAATTTGGGAGCTGCCACATTTAGGTGAGGTTTAGGTCGCGTTCAGGATAGGAACGTTTTGACTGCCGGCTGTGGAAAAACTCAAATCGTAGCAAAACCGCGGCAAACCGCAGTTTTGCAGCATTTTGAGTTTTTCCAGTGGTTGAGGGTCAGGGTAGGCTCATGTACATGGAGCCTTACAAAAGGCAAAACTTTTTTTTAGTCTCTTTTTTTGGATAGAGTGGAGATAGATTAGACACCTTTCAGGTTTGTATTGCCCCCATTAAAGAGATTCACCCTACCTACTTGGATTGTTTACCATTGTCACTGAAAGTGAAAGTAAAAAAAAAACCCAAAAGTTTGGTTGACCCCAAAGCAGTAATGGAGGGAAATCATCTAATGGGGGCACTAATTCGACTAAGGAGACACACTGGGATCTCCTCAGTTTGAGGGATTCCCTCTCACTTTCTGTTTTGACTATGGGACAGGAAGTGAATATAAATCTCCCCAGTGGGGTACCGATGGCAAAAAATAAAACTGATAGGGGTTATAACCTCCCTTACTCTATCCAAAATGGAAAAAAAATAGTTTTGCCTTTAAAAATGTTTTTACATTAAAGTGGAACTAAACCCTCCTCTCCTTTTCAGCCAAGGAAGCTGCCATCCTTGTCACTGTTTGATCTGCAGCTGCAATAGTGATCAGTTATGACTCCAGCCATTTGATGGTTTGACAGTTTTGTTTGAAAGCACAAGAAAATGTGACAGTTAAAGCCGACCATACACGGTCAAATTCCAAATGAATTTTCTTTCAAAAATCTTTTCTAAGAATTTTCATTCGAATTTCGCACCATTAGTGGGCCACAGAAACTGCCGATTTTCGTGCGACCATCGAATTTGAGTGATCGGGCATGTTGAAAATTTTTTTGAAAAATTTACAAATTTCTAATCAATGATGAGAGAATCGTGCGAGAAATATAATCGAAAAAGAACCAAGCATGAGATGTGACCTGGAAAGAAAAGAAAATTCTTGGCCACGAAAATTCTTTTTCTGTAGCAACATGTTAAATTAAAGGTTGGGTTGATCGAATTTCAAAATCAACCATCAGATTACAAAATGCACAAAATTTTCAATTTTCTAAAGAAAATGAGTTCGGAATTCGACCCATGTGTGGCCTGCATTAGCATTCCCAGCATGCTGGGATTGTAACTTTTTTTTTTTTTTAATTGTTAAATTGATTGGTTTAGTTCCACTTTAAATTATGTCTACAGAGCTACCATCTTTATTTCACCCATGTGACTGTACTCTCATAAACTGCCATTTTCTTGAAACAAGGATAAGGACCCTCATCCTGGTGTGTTAAGTGTTGCAATTTGATCAATGTATTTTAAAACATTTGAATGCATTTTCAGTTATAATGACCTCTAATGACCTTTCAGTCAGAAAGACCTGCAGAGTGGCCAATGATCTTGTAAGGCCCCTTTCACACAAATGTTCACCTTGGGTCAGGCGGACCCGATTGGACCCTCCATTCTCCTCTATGACACATGTCCATTTAGACCCGCTTACATCCAATCCGCTAAAAAAAAAAAACAAATATGGTGATCTGTTCTCCTCTGTCTGAATGGATCAAATGGCAGTTGGGTTTACATTAACAGGCGGTCCGTTTACATGAGACCACCCACAGAGGAGGGAGGGCTATGTCTGTATCTGCTCTGCATAAGCTGCTGAACATGGTATGGGAGGACAGATCCTCTATTAAGCAGGAGGATCAAAGGTGGAGTCCGTCCCATGTGAAGGGGGCCTAAATGCCAACTGGTCTCACTCACAGAAGAGGAAAAAATTTACAACTGTTGACCACTTCCCATCCAGCCCATGTAGATAAACGGCCGGATAGGAGCACTGCCGATGAGGGTGGATGTTTCTAAACATCCCCCCGGATCCATTGCCTGTGCGCGCTCCCTGGGAGCACGCAGCACTGCGATCAGTGCCCGCTGTGGAACACAGATCGCTGTACGGTACCTCTGTGTGAGGTCCTGATTCATGTGATCACCGATTGGCCAATCAATGATCACATGAATAGTAGTAAACAAGATGTCACTTCTGACATCATTGCTTACTACGCGTGAAACCTGTGAATGATCACAGAGGTCACATGGTACAAGGCTATTCACAACAGCCTTGTACCATGTGACAAGCTGGGACCAATCACAGTCCTCACAGTTTTTCTCCATGGCTGCAGGAATGCAGCAAGAAAGAAGGAGACATTATTGCTTTTACAGTCTTTATGGGTGTAAAAACAATCAGTGCAAAAAACGAAAAAAAAAATCTTCATCAACCCCCACATGTAGTACATTGTCACTATGGTGACATTGTACTGCTAGGGTCACAGTATGTTAAAAAAAAATAAAATAAATAATAATATAAAAAAATAAAAACAATATAGAAAAAATATAATTTTTGGTTATAAACTAATTTGGGTTATTTTTTTTTTACTAAAAAGATAGATGAATACATTTTGGCCAAGATTTATGAAGAAAGATTATTTATTAGCAAAATTTTATAAGAAAAACACTTTTTTTCAAAATTTTTTGACATTTTCATTTATATAGCAAAAAAAAAATCCCAGTGGTGAATAAATACCACCAAAATAAAGTTTTATCTGTCTCAAAAAAATGCTAAAAAATTCATATGGATACAGTGTTGCATGACCGCGCAACTGTCATTCAAAGTGTGATAGCGCTGAAAGCTGAAAATTAGCCTAGACTGGAAGGGAGTGAAAGTGTCCAGACTTGAAGTGGTTAAAAGTATCACCTGACCTGCATAGGAAAAAACAAGGATCATACTATCACCAGCATACTGTTGCTGCAATTTAACACAAAAAGCAGAACTGCTAACAGGCTCACAAAAAAGGGGTTAAGGAACCTGAAAACACTCAGATGACAACTTGCAGCTGAAGCTAGCACCAGCCAAGGCCTGAACATCCACCCAGTAAAACCTGGCAAATGTGTGAACAGAGGACCAGATGGTGGCCTTTCAAATATGGGATACAAATGCCTGATGCTGGAGAGTTGAAGATCCCTGCTGGAATTGGCTCTGATAGGACAGGAAGGAACCATTTCCTTAAGGCTGTAGTCCCTGGAAATAAGGTGTTTTTATCTACCTGGCAATGGATCCTGCAGGTAGAAGCCATGGCTGTCAGATAGACCCTGAGAGCCCTGACAAAATTCAAGTAGCTTAAGGACATTTCCCTTAGTGTGTTTTGGAGCAGAACAGATGGAAAGTAGGACAATATCCTCATTGAGGTGGAATAGAGAGACAACCTAGGTTAGAAAAGAAGGTCTTAGTCTCAACACCACCTTGTCCCTGTGCAATACAAGATAGGGCTCTTTACAAGAAAATGCTTTGTCTGTCACAGTGACCATGCCCCTGGTGGGGTCTTCATGGTCTGGGAAGCATATAGATGGACCACGCACAGCCCAGCACTTGTATAGCACCTGCAGCTAACTACATGGGTTGCTCTTCAAAGTTAACATTGCAGGCTGGCCCCATACAGTGGGGTGGGTACAGTACCAATCCAGAACCTGCTAGAAAGTCTAAGGCAATAAGCATTCAGATCTTGATAGACGTGTCAGAAGAAATAAGGGAATGGTTAAAAAGAAAACAAACTTCTTCATGGAAGAGGAATGGGGGAAGAGGTCCATCATCTAAAAACACTAGCATAATACTGGAGTTTTGTGGAGTGGGTGGGATTGTACACATTGGGGGCAGCCCTAGGACGTTTTTTGCCAGAATACAATTACCTGAAGGTTTCCTAGCCAGCATATAACCCATGA